CTGTTGGTGTTGCCCGATTGGGCTTGGACATTGACTCACGATTCTTCTGTATCGTTCTCAAATGGATGGTTACTCGGTTCCATTGTGCTATCTGCTCTTGCTTTGACTACTTGGACTTCAGTGTGATTTTGCAATTTGGATTTATGTGCTTCGTCCACATTCATGTTCCTTGCATTTTGGTATCGGAGCTGGTTCGATTCGCCACTTACCTTGGTGCGCTGGCGTTATACAGACTTGGTGCGTTGACGATGCTTCTTCGCAGTTGGTTCTTGTGACGTCAGGCCAACATTAGGTGCACGACCTGGGTAGAGAGGTGTGCGCCGGAAGGCTATACGGCATGGGAAGCCGTGGTTACAGCGGAATGTATGATTGGTGATGATAGCATGCTGATGTGGCATTTAGCTGAGGTGGCACTGCATTGCGTTGTGGGTGGTACCGAGGCTACGACTGGTCATCAAATGCACACTCAGCTCAATTGATGAGAAATCTGTGGTTGGGCACAGCTATCCCCAGGTACGTTGTTCCCTTACCTTATCTACTCTCTCAATCTCTTCTTACCGCGAGGAAGTGAGTCCAACTTGAGAGTCCTCTCTTTTGGTGAGGTGTCGTGTGCGCGCTACCTTGAGAGACGACAATCTTCCCGGAAGCATCTGGAAGGAGAAAGGGCGGTGCCTCTGAAGGGCCCTGGTCGAAGCACTTGGGTCACGGTCACCATGCCAACCCAATGGGAGTAGGTCACGCATGCGATGGCTGCTTGTCCATTTTGGCACTTTGCTGCGCTATAGAAGTCGTGCCGGGTGTGCCATCCCATAAGAGACGCTTACCAGACCGTCTATAAATACTTCTGGTTGGGGGCTCGGTGTTGATATTGGATGTGATCGTCGTCCTGTCTGCGACGTTAAATAATTCCTGAGGAGATGGGGGCTCTCCTTAAATCCCTCCCGATCAGCCAGATCAAACCGGGTAGTAAGGCTCGTTCCGTACGAGGGTAAATAAGAGTGGATGGGTTGGCTTGCTCAGCAATGACTTGGGGCACAGGGGTGGGCCGACGTTACACACGAAGACACTGCTGCTCAAAGATGCTCTTCGGTATGTTGGATTGAGGGGAGGGTAGGTTCTAATTGGTGCTCAACTGTAAACACAACAATATCCACTGTTCATACATCTGCAAGATATTTTAGCTTTATTGTTGATTAGTTGGTTGACAGACTGCTAACACCTCACAGTCAGTTTAGTATAGGACTGTTGTATACTACCATAGCCAGTTCTGTGCAAAGCTTCTGTAAGTGAACTAATCATGATAGAACTAAACTATGTTGACAGTCTTTTGTGAATGTTGTAGGCTGCCACTTGATCGGTCAAGTAGGGGACCCGCCGGACACAATTACTTTTAGAAAATTAGGTGCCTGTCAGACACATGCTGTGGTAGAACTCCAGCAGGGGGTTGTAGTGCAGATAGTGTTTGCCTAACTGATGAGTGGGTCAGACATCGATGAGGGTAGAGTTGACAATGCGAGACTGACACGTTCGAGATCACTTAGGGTGCCGCACGTGTTTCAGACCTTACAACCGGGAGACGAAAGACGGCTTCGTGCCGAAAATAGAGCCCGTGCTCTTGCAATAGCCAGGGCAGCAGCAAACGCAGCAGCTAGAGAACAGGCAGTAGCAGCCAGAGCAGCAGCAATGGCTAACGGCGCAGCCTCTGCTGCGTCCTCATCTGGGACCCAGTTGGGAATGCCCTCTGGGCCCGCGGGTACTTTCGGGTCAGTAGGTTCTAGTCAGTCCACAAGTCAAATGGCGGGCTCGCAGTTAAGCCCGTTGACCCCACGCGGTAGGGAGCTCCTAGAGCTCCAACAGGTCGAAAGGATCCGCGAGCGGTTAGAGAGGGAATTGAAGCAAGCTACCGACAGAGAAAAAGAGATTAAAAATAGAACAGCCAGGCTTGATACGTTAGAGGCAGACAAAGCTGCATTGGAGGGTTTGGATGAGTCAGCCATGTCTGACCAAATGAAAGTATTGAAGAACAGCGTACTGTCGTTGCATGCGCATGTGGACAACAGACTGGACTTCATGCAGAACTCTTTGGACCAGATCGTGGACCTTTTGCAAAGGCCAGGATTTAGGCCAGCAGCGCAGTCGCCGTTGCCATTAACGGCGATGTCAGGCCCCTTTCCGGTGCAAGCTGGCACACAGCCAAGTGGTACGTCTGCAGCAGCCGCACAGACTATTGCTTCTTCTTCTTCTGGTCCAGCGGCAGGTGCTACTCCACAGCCGCAACAAACTGTTCCACCACAGGGATAGCAGCAAGGTCATTGGTACCCAAAGACCCCTATGAAACCACCCCTTGCCTTCTCCGGAGAGAAGAAGGACGAGGAACTCAACATTTGGTTGAGAACAGTTCCAGTGTGTGTAAGGGCAAAGAGGACTTTGCAGGAGGAGGAGGTGATTACTGCTGCATCTTGCCTTGAGGGTAAGGCAGCCAAACGACTAGATGGATTAGTAGCGAAGGCCGGGTATGGATGACGTATGGCGGACTGGGCTAAGACCCTAACGTTAGAGGAGTTCTTAGACATGGTAGAAGCTCGTTGGCATAATCCACAGCAGGCACAAATTGCCACTGATGCGATGCTCAGACTAGACCAAAGAAAGTTTAAGTCAATCAGAGAGCTAACGTCTACCATAGAGAGCCTTATTGTCGTGCCAGGCATACGCTACGATGACCAGGTCTTATTGACCATGTTCGTGAGATGTCTGCGCGAGAATCTCAGGAACTTGCTGGCCAGCGAGGCTCGCCTCGAGTATCATTCGTTTGAGACCTTATCTAGAAAAGCCTGACTTAGAGGCTACTCTAGGAAGTGCTCAGCCTACTCAAGTAGACACGAGGAAGAAGAAGAGTCCACATGAGTGGAAGAAGAAGGGGAGTCGATTGATGATGGTTGAGTCTGATGAGACTCAAACCGAGATCGAGGAGCTTTCAGACCTGTTGGACACTACAGAGTACGACGACGAGGAGACCGCTGAGGGTAGCACCCTCGCCGCAGTTGTAAAGACTAAGGCAGGTGGCCGAGGGAAGGGCCATCAAAAGAGTCAAGGGCAGGTGGCCTCCAACCAGACCAAAATTGCTGATTGGGTCAAGGCAGGTCTTGATCAAGAAGTGTGGCGGGACCGTAGAGTGCGGGGTGCTTGCATCAACTGTGGTGAATACGGACACACCCAGTACAAGTGCAAGAACGCAAAGGTCACGCAGAAGATACCTCCTAAGGTTGGGGTACCTTCTTCCCAGGCGTCTAGCTCGAGAAACATGTGAGGCCGGTGGAAGTTTTAGCTGCTTCTACTCATGGTGAAGTGGGCCAGATACCCTCCCCACTTCATGAGAAGGCCATAGCTAATGACTCTTTAGTCACCCTGCAGACTCATCCAGACCAAACTATACTCTGTACGTTGGATGTGTCTAATGCCTTAGAAGATTTAGACAGTGAGTGGTCAAGCAAGGACCCTTGCGAATCTTGGGTGGCACTAAGAAGAGGTCCTAGAGGGGAACATTTCGTTGTGGAAGTTGCTGTAGGAGACCGCAAATGTGGTGCCTTCATAGACATCGGCTCCACTCGGAATTACATAAGTCGCGACTGTTTGGAAAGGCTGCACCTACAGGACCGGGTACAACACCTTAGTAGACCAGTAGCATCTACTTTGGCCAATAAGGAGCGCATGGTTGTCACAAACTATATCAAGGATGTAGTCTGTACCTTCTCCTATGGAGGAGGGGAACTTGATCATAAGATTTCGTTCCTGGTTTGCGACGACTTACCATTTGACATGTTGTTAGGAATGTACTACCTCGAGGTTGCCAAGCCCCAGTTTGACTGGGACAAGAAAGTGCTAAAGCATAAGTTGCCGGATGGGAGAACAGTGAGACTGACTAAGTTCAAAGCCAGTAGTATAATCGATACCTATGGGTGCTTGTGTGCATCAACATTCTATAATTACTATAAACAGAACCGAGAGGAGGGTATGTACCTAGTGTATGTCTCTTAGAAAGGGGCGGCCGTTAAAACACCCCCAGAGATGGAACACGTCATTGCTAAGTTCCCTGATTTGTTCACAGAGCCCACAGGAGTCGTCGATAGGGAGGTTGTCCACGCCATAGAAATCATTCCAGGGAGTAAAACCCCAAAGGGAAGGATCTATAGGATGGCTCCGGCTGAGTTGGATGAACTTCGGCGACAACTGAAAGAGCTGACAGAAAAGGGATGGATCCGACCGAGTACTTCCCCCTTCGGATTTCCAGTTTGCTATAGTACTTACATCCCTGCACCCTATCCAATAGGTCGTCTATGCGAGGTAGAGGCTCTGCGTTTTTCACTGTGATGGCATTGAGGCCTCTGTAATCAATGCACATCCTCAATGTACCCCCCTTCTTCAGTACAAATAGCCTCCTTTGACTGATCTAACTCGACTTGACACGCCGTGGGACTGGAGTGATGAGTGCGAGGCTGCTTTCAAACGATTGTAGCATGCACTCATGAATCACGAGGTTCTTATGGTGCCCGATCCTCAGAAGCCATTCATAGTGACCACTGACGCAAGCCAATACGGCATTGGCGCAGTGCTGGCTCAACAGGATGGGAAAAAGTTGAGACCATTTGAGTATATGAGCAAAAAGATGCCATCTAAGAAACTGGCAAAGTCCACCTATGAAAGGGAACTCTATGCTCTCTACAAAGCACTTGTCCATTGGAGGCACTTTCTGTTGGGACGGTTTTTCTACTTGAGAACTGACCATCAGACCCTCAAATGGATCAAGACTCAACCGGCTCTTTCTGATGCACTCAAGCGTTGGATTGAGGTCATAGATCAGTATGACTTCAAGCTAGAGTATCTGAAGGGAGAGTACAAGAAGGTTGCAGATGCACTGTTCCGTAGAGGAGATTACCTAGGGGCGCTAGTTTTTGAGTTTGGTGTATCTGAGGAACTAACTCAATCGCTGGTGGGAGCCTATCAGGAAGACTCTGTCACGATGGACATCATGCGCAAGCTTCAGGCAAAAGACAAGGCCACAAAAGATGAGTTTGTGATGGTGGACGGGCTTCTCTTTCTTGATAAGGCCGAATTTAAAAGGTTAGTTGTTCCATTTAGTGAACGTTTGCGTAGTTTATTCTTAGGAGAATGTCATGACGCAACCGGTCACTTTGGCTACAAAAAGACGAGTGCCAATTTAGTACAACGATTTTGGTGGTCCGGGATGTCAGAAGATGCAAAGAAGTATGTTGAGACCTGTCATGTCTGTCAGCGGGATAAGCTGCGAACTCAAGCACCGCTTGGGTTGCTGAAGCCTTTACCTATCCCCGCTGGTCTGAGACAGAGTGTTTCCATGGTCTTCATGGACACCCTGGTGACCAGTAGGAGTGGCAAGAGGCACATCTTTGTCATCATAGATCGATTCACCAAGTACGCTAGACTAATTGCCATGCCAGAGACCGAAAGGACGGAACACGTCATCAAGTTGTTTCTGGACAACTGAGTGCTTGATTTTGGATTACCAAAGTCAATCGTTAGTGACAGAGATGTCCGCTTCACAAGTGAGCTGTGGAAGAAGACTGCTGAACAGATGGGCAGTCAACTTCAGATGACTTCAGGGAATCATCCCGAAGCCAACGGACAGGCCGAGCAAATGAACAGAGTTGTACAACACCTGCTAAGGCATTACATCAAGCCCAGTCAGGATGATTGGGATGAGAAGTTGCCTCTCATCGCCAGCCTGTACAACAATGCTGTACACAACAGTATCGGCGTTAGTCCTAATCAACTGCACTTGGGATGGAAGCTTAGATCAGCTCTGGACTTCCTCCTACCTGAAAACCGACCTGCTGCAAATCCAGGCACACTTGAGTATGGTGTGCAGTATGAGAAGTTGCTGCAGCAAGCTGTCGAGCACATCAAGAAAGCTCAGCAAGCAATGATTGCTTCTGAGAACAAACATTGTCGACAATCCTCATTTCAGGTAGTGGAACGTGTCTGGGTCAAGGCTAGTGAGCTAGGACAGGAATTCGGAATCTCTCGTAAACTAATGCCTCAGTATTTTGGTCCCTGGGAAGTCTTGGATATAGTTGGGGATGAGATGGATGGTCCTACCTATGTTATCCGCATCCCTGGTCACTTACGCACTCACCCTGTCTTTCATGCCTCAAAGCTTGCACCTTTCGCTGAGACAGATCAATTCCCTTCAAGGAGATCGGTGCTGCCCCCAACCATGGATGGCCAAGTGGACATTGACGACATTGTGGATCACAGAGACCTGCCGGTTCCAAAGCCATTGGGTAGAGGAAGTTCTCCCAAACCCAAGAGAGAATATCGCGTCAGATTCATCATACGGATCCAAAAGAAGATCGGTGGTTTACCAGAGAGGAACTGATTGACACAACTCCTCAAGTGGTGGCAGAATATGAGAGGATGTTAAAAGGGAAGGCACCTGCGAAGTAAGCATCTCAACGGACTTTCGAAGCTAAGGGGGATGGAATGTGAGGATTGAGCCCTTAAAGGGGCCTTGTCGTGATATACATGTTCTGGGCTAAGGCCCCCAGCAAGCCTCGTGCCCGCCCTAAGTGAAGGCGGGCCAGCAAATCAAAGAGAGCCCTTTTGTTCAAA